TGGGCTGCAGGTGGATATCTGCTCCACCATGGACCTCCATGGGCTGCAGGGGGACAGCCTGCCTCACCATGGTCTTCATCACGGGCTGCAGGGCAATCTCTGCTCCAGCGCCTGGAGCACCTCCTCCCCTCCTTCTTCACTGACCTTGGTGTCTGCAGGGCTGTTCCTCTCACATATTCTCACTCCTCTCGCCAGCTGCAATTGCGCAGGTTTTTTTCCCCCCATTCTTAAATATGTTACCCCAGAGGTGCTACCACCATCACTGATGGGCTTGTCCTTGGCTAGCAGCGTGTCCGTCTTGGATCCAGCTGGCATTGGCTCTATTGGACACAGGGGAAGCTTCTAGCAGCTTCTCACAGAAGCCACCCCTGTAGCCCCCCTGCTGCCAAAACCTTGCCACGCAAATCCAATCCAATTCCTCTACATAACACTATCCTCAAAGAAACCTGCCAGCCAATGACTCCCTCACAGAAGACTGAACGCAACAGGAATCATCTCTGATGTTTTCCTCAGTCGGTCATTCGCTCTCTACCGCTTCCTCCAAAACAGCCAATTCACAGCTTCTGTCGCTGCCTGCTTCATCCTTTCCCTGGCTGATCTTAAAATCCTGTGTGATTGCTCTTCCTACTTACCCCAGCCACAGCAACTGCTAACTACTCCTTTGCAGCTGGAATTGCACCTCCTGGACCTCCCTGTTGTGAACACACTGCCAGCCATGATGTATGGGACTGAACAGTTATATGACAAGATCCCAAACAAATGGGTAAGTAGAAATGACTCTATTCTCAAGGTCACCCCCACAGTAGGTGAAAGATAGGCAGAAAAAGCTATGAGATACCCTAGGATTGCAAAGAAATTTATTTCAGACATAATGAGAAGAAAGGACATTCTTTCATAGAGTAAACAAGCTAAAATTAGCTGCTAAAATTAATTTAAGAAATAATAATGAAAAATTGAGGTCCTATTTTCTGTGCTAAAAGAAAAAATTACAGTAATTCAATATTTTGTTAAAATACTAGATGATATATTAATCTTTCCCATGCAGAGAAATCATCTTACAAAACCTGAATATCATTTTTTATTTAAGGCTTCCATTTGTTTCTGAAACTAGAAAGAGAGATATTCCCAATTATTAAGTATCACAATAAACTCTGTTAAAAATTTTTCCTCCCATCCTAAGAGAAAGATAAATAGA